ATAGATATGGTTATTTAAGTTAGTGATTAATTTAGTACTACCGCTGAGATATGCTTAATTTATTCTGTAATCTAACGTTCTGGTGTTGGAAATATGCGTCTTCAACCGAGCGAGGTGTCTCCTACATGATCGTAATTCATTGTGTAAAATCTAGACGGCAATAAAGGGGCATGAGTTACATTGCGGGTGTTATCGTAAATTATGTCGGTTAAGTCTCGGTCGATATTAAGGACGAGATTGCTTCGTTATTTAGATTAGATAGTAAAGTCTTCTGTGGAAAGTTTTTGATTTAAAGTATTGTCGATAGATTAAATCAGTCATTTAATTTGGGTGAATCGCTGCCATATTGGCCATATTTTTACACTAAGAGTAAAAAGATAGCCATAATTAATTTTTGGGGATGTGACTATCAGCGATAACTTGTAATCGGCATTCAGTTTTTTGTTTGTTTTATTACTTTTTTGTAAGTTAGCTGTAAGTTATCCATAACTAAATGAAATAAAAAAAAATGTGTGTATTGGTTTCCCATTTCCTTTCACACGCTGTGGTATTGCCGTATCGATGGACTCCATCACCGCCAACAGTTGCACTAATGAACCCTAAACTTCGAAAGAAGATAGGTTTAAGAAGAAGTAAAAAAGACAAATATTTCTTCTCTGTTTCAGATTTCGTATTTCAAACATGTTCGCTATTTCTGTTTACTTAAATAAGTTTTGGCTTGAGTTCTTCAAGGCCATTGGACAGTAAGTAGTTGTTGATTCCGTGATATGCGCAGAAGACGCGTGACAAATTGTGCAGCTTGTACGTGACAATGTTTGTCGTCGCCGTCACGTTGTGATTGATGCCCATCTGGGCCTAATTAGATAAGGGATGTTGTCCGAACGTCGGTGTAATCTTCGTAATTCGAGCGTGATTCATTGCCAAGATACGATGCGATTTCACCGCGCGAACAATGCTTCTTGTTCAGGATAAGGTCACTTTCCGCTAACTGTTTAAGCGAAATTAGATCTTAACGCAATGGAACAGGGTTTACATTGCTGTGATAGTATATGTTAAGAGTGAATGCAGTTTGAAAGAACCCAATCTTCATTCTGCATAATCATGCAAATTATTGTCGAATGATTCAGTCATATGTGCACTTGTGGGTTGGAAATTCTCCTTAATTTTAATAATGTCTTTAGGATTAAATCCCATTTCGACATTCTAACCTCTGAATGAAAAGAATTTCAAAGACTGAAGTTTAAAATATACGAATACATACCGTTCGACCAGTGGAAGTGACCATTAAGTCAGCCTACGTGAGATATGTGCATGTTACCTTTGCAGAGTGCAGGGCATTTGTCATTATTATCGCTATAATGGCGTTCGCCTACATATTAACCAATTATGACAATATTGCTAGCGTTAAATGTCAGATAACATTACACCGGTACAAGGACCATTTAGTTATCCTGTATAGTAAGAGATTGAAGTCTTTACTCATGGATTTCGACATAGGTGACTCTATAAAGAAAATTAAGCTATTTAAATCTTACTTATATTAATGTTAAGATGGATGTTTGTAAGAGTTGGTAGCCTAAACTGCTTAACGGATGTCTGTGAAATATGGTATAAATATAGAGCATAGTCTAAAAAGCTACTTGCCTTTGTTTTTTAAATCCAAGCGGTTGGAATCACAGGCGAAAACTAGTTCATAATCGGCACGTATTGAGCTAGCGCGCTCTATGCTTCGGCCGCGTCTTCACTTAGCTTAGGTGGAGTCGTGGTCAAGCGCTGGTTCATTTTTAAAACAAAAATAATAATAAGTTAGTGTGGGAGGTAAATACTAAGAAATTATATAAAATTAAGGGTGTATTGTGTTTTGTTTAACGGCCCAGTTAGCAAGAGTTTACCATAAAATTTCTTTATGTTGCATAATTTTGTTTGAGTCCCGCGAACCCACAAATCTTGCAAATCCTTTAAGGTTGCGATGATCCTGGGTCGATCCCCTGAGTCCAGTTCTTAAGGCTCCTTGTAGATGGATGTTTTAGGTACAACGTGTTTTTGGTTACTGACTTAACTAATATGAGAATACTAGCTTTCGCCCGCGACTCCGTCCGCGTGGTATTAAAACAAAACCAAGTAGCCTTTGTGTGCTTCAAGGCTATCCTCTACATGTATGCCAAATATCATTGAGATCCGTTCAGCAGTTTAGGCTACAAACGCTAACAAATATCCATCCATCCATCCATCTAAACTTTCACATTTAGAATATAATTAATTATTAACATTTACAAGTTTTTATAGTTCTGTACATAATACCTTTATGTTAATTTTCCATTTATTTTTTCAAATTTTGCACTCACTAGCTTTCGCCCGCGACTCCGCTTGCGTGTGATTAATAAAAACAAAAGTTTGTAGCTTATGTGTTTTTCCATACTATACTCTACATTTACATTAAATTTCAACGAAATCTGTTCAACCATTTAGGCTTACAAACTCTAACATACATCCATCCATTCAAACTTTCTCATTTGTAATATTAGTTTGATTAAAATCCATTATGTTACATTAAAAGTATTTAATTCATTTGTTACATCATAACTATGTTTACCGATAGTAATAAAATTTACCTACTCTTACTACCATTGGCAAGCCATTAAGATGTGCACGTCTGTCCACACCGCAACCAAAATAACTCTTACGACGATTGACATGGCAGCTTTGGAACACGGGTGACTGAGAAATTTAGTTTGTAATATCGAGACGTCCACAGAAAAATAACTATTATAATGCAAGCCACATACTCACCGCATCGGAGAATATAGCTCCTTAGATTATAGAACCACAAATTATCTGTCCCGGGCATTAACAAATTAAACAAAACTAGCGCCCTTCTGTCGATATCAAAAAGTCCTTTTCATACGGTAGCTATCATGTTCTTTTTTTTCTTTGATGCTGTTTTCTGTGTCCATATAGGTTTTATAAGTATTTTGTCATCAATCAAGATGTGCTTGTCAACCATGGTACACATCCTTCTAGAGTGCCAGAAGCTCAAATCGCCACAAAATACCACGTCATAAAGCCTATCTATTTAGAGATGTCATTGGTTATCAAATGAAGTGCTTATTAGAGTGGTAATGAATTTTCTTTGTAAAATGTTTAAAAATCTTTTGTAAGCCTGATATAAATGTATTCGGATATTTTAATTATTCTTTACGATGTACGAAATATAATTGGAAAAGTTATTAATGGAAATTAAAAGCAAAAAACTTTAACAAGCATTTTTCTCTTGGATCCTTTCCAAGTGTTGTGCGTTGTAAGTTAAAAAGTATACATTTCGTTTGTGAACGCTCAGGTTTGGAAAGAATGCAACGTTGCTATTCCAATTTTTGCTAAAATTACTCGTGTGAGCAATTAAAGTGTATTGTAAATGAAAATAAATGTATGTCAGTTTTGAGGATTACTTGGAAATTGATCATATTCTAATCATGTTCTCTTTTTGCATTATCTTTTTTTTATAACATAAGGTAGCAAACGAGCAAGCGGCCACCTGGAATCCGCCAAAATGGCGAAGCGACCGCTGCCCGTAGACATCCGCAATTGCAGATGCGATGCCTACCCTTATTCGACAGAGGAGATGCACATAAAGAGGATAAAAAGGATCTTAATTATAAAAATAAAATATAATACTCCTGACCATATAGCGGAAAAAAATTCTTTACGTACTTGAACACGTGTAATCATGGATACGATTGAAGATCCTTATGACTGGTTTTCTTTTTTCTTGCTCAGTGTAATCTTATATTTACTGGATATTTGACATATGAAAGCAAAATCATTACCTTTTATGTATTTAATATGTACAGTTGAGCAAATCCGTGGTGTTTCCTTTACAGAAAAACAGTTCATAACGAAACCAATGACGGGATAATATTAAAAAGCAAACGCTTGTGTCACTGAACGCCCTTTTTAGAGTTACATTTAAAGGCTGTGTCCGATTGGTTATTGTCCTTCGTCTTAATGTGTACAAGTCGTTCAAGCGACTATAGCTTTTAAAGTATAACGCCGCCATATTCCCTGATTGTACATATGTATGTACAAACTTTGAACTATATAAATTAATAATCTCCCCGAGCGCTGGATATCGTCACGGTTCAATTGTCAAACAAGTCGGTTGATAAACAACGTCCACCGAAACACTTTGTTTACAAAGCAACCGTATCAGTTGTTGTTTACGAATAATTTAAATAGTTTCCGATTGTTTGGTCGGAGTACGGCCTTTGTAAATAATTAACGCACCGAGATTGGGTCGTATTAACCTGACGTCGATTTAACGCTAGTGTAGCAGGGTATTAAACGTAATACGACTTAATTAATTCCGTCTATGAATATAAGGAATTAGGGAACTTAAATCAAGCGTGTATTATGGAATAATTTAACAAATATTGTTCAGGGACATTAATTTCCTACCCAATGCAATTTGAACCACACAAAGCATTTTATTGCGTGGTTCCAATATTGTGGAAGGCTTTGGGAAAGGTTCATAACAAAAACTTGTCTTACACATAAAGGTGCCAGATTGCTGTTATGCCAATCTTTAATGGTAACCGAATTTAATTCTTTGACTGTACTTAAAAATTGCAAATGTATTTTTTTTATATTATTTATATACAAGGTTTACAATGCAAATGCTAATTGCAAACTGCATTAAATATTCGAAGGTCATTTATAATATTCTAAACAACCGCTAAGTAATGGAATAATCTTTCTAATCACAATAGAATCCTTGCTTGCTTTACTTAATTTTTAGTTGACTGACAATTTACCAGTCATATTATATGCCTTGAACAAATAATTGCATAAAGATATATGTTGAAATAAATTAATAAACAACTGTAGTTTTCTAGAAATAAATAAACGGACAAAAAAGCAACAGGTTGGAATTTAGGTTTTTACTGCCGAATGATGTTGATTTTTCTTTTATTTCCAATGAAGTAATTGTTTCCTTTTTGTTTTAGATGCATCATCCGATCCAGATGAAACCAGCTGACAGTGAAAATAGAAATGGTGAGTTAAAATTTTCATTAATGCTAATGTATTTGCAGCCTTATTTAAAAACAAATGTAGAATTTATAACCTCCTTTATTTGGCAATTCGGTTGTAAAAGAATTTAAATTCGATTATATCACACTAGTGTGGACGCATCTTTAGTAATGTTTTAATTGTTCTGCATTTGTCCGGCACGTGTGCTTGATCTAGACGGTAACGACGTATTTATTACTACTAAACAGTTATCGTTTGACTTACAACAAATAGTAAACAAACTTTACGAAAGAATAGTTTCGTTAAATCTGATTAAAGCATAAAATGATTTTACGCGTAAAATTAAGCGTCAAATTCGCGCTAAACGAGCTATTTACGCGGTGCAGCACAAAACAAGCTCGCATCAGACACGAGCGGATTTTTTAGAGCTGTACGCCGCGAAACACGTGCTCTTACGTAATCCCGCGCTTACAGGGTTGCCACTTTGCTGTAATATTGTTTTCAAACAAATGAAATGCTTTTTATTAAAATATTTCTGTTGTGATACAGTTTTTAATTAGTACGAATATAGTAATAAGTTGATTTAGTAGAATAATACACATTTTACGATCCTGACAATTTTTTATTAAATTCCCTATAGTGCGAATATATTTTAAATAAATCCTACATATTGATCCTTTATTTCTTTTATTTACATCTATAGTAATCTATAATATTGTAAAGAGGAAAAATATTTACTTTTGTATGTATTGAAATAACTCAAAAACTACTGGACTGATTTGAAATTCTTTCACTATTAAATAGTTACGTTATTAGTGAATAACATAAGCTACACTTTTCATTATTTTCAATTTCACGCGGACGAAGTCGCGAGCAACAGCAATAATTGATACAATATAAAAGTACTGTAATGACAAGAATCCATGTGCTAATTATGAGACTATTTTTTTCCTATTTTCGACAACCCTGTGCCAGTCGTACACATATTACGCATACGTGGGGAAGCATGCATATTCAATCTGTGAGCGTTTGTATTCTATTTATACGTCAGTGCATCGGATTAGCTGCTGTCTCGGATCACTCGGGCGACAAAGCTCGTGTGCCGAGCTTTATACGAATTATATCTATTGATCAAAATCAATACACCATTATTGTTAATTTGTAATTTTGTAAGATGACTTGAAGCAATAGTCCAAGATACTGATAACCGATCTCTCGAGTTCTCGAGTTCGAATCCAGGCTTAGTTGCATTAATACAAGAAATGTTAGTAAACCAGCTGTTGAGCGACTCAGTCCACGCAATATTAAAAAAAATAGTAGGCTATGTGTTCTACATCTATGCCAAATTTCAGCAAAATCAATTCAGCCGTTCTGGAGATATGTAATTAGTAACAAATATCCATCCATACATCTATCTAAATTAACAAATAAATAGTCGTTACAATGTTTAAAAAATTACATTCCTAAAACAATTTCAGTGACATTTATCTCAAAATGTCTTTGTATATTTAATGGAAACTCCGTCACAGTTTTCATATCACTTATCTCCATTTTCCATAGCGTTTCAGTAATATAAAAATACTTTAAGTCTTGTTGCTTCTCTTAGATTACTCTAGAAAGCTTAACTGCACCACATTTATTCAAAGAAATATGAATAAAAACATTATCGCGGTTGTTTAGTTAAGAAAACATTTTTCTCAAATGAAAATCCTCTAAGACCCGATTTGAAAAGAGATTACTCTGCGGCGCAAACTAGAGAGAGATAAAAATAGTGTACAAGTAAATAACATGAACCGGTGAGAAATATAAATGAGATTTGTCACTCGGAGAAACTTTGTAACGCGGAACGTTTATCGAAAGGAAATTCCTCCAGTTTGTTTTCCGATTGCGTGTTAACCTGAAATTCCAATATTGACTTGCGACCTCCTCGGCTCGAGCTCGCTTTATTAAATAAAATATCAATTGCTTTCGCCTTGAATGATAACCTCGTTTGTCTTTTCATTTTTTTCGTGTTTACGTCTTTATAATGAAATCAAAATTAATGAAGAGGTTAGGTTTACACGGGGTTAATTAAATAAATCATTTGTTACCTTAATATACAAGAATTATAACTTTAAGCTCACGCCTGTAAAAACCAATACCATTTGACCTCATACCGTATTTTTAACCTGCCTTAAATTTAAACTTTCGCCCGCGATTCCGTCCACGGGAAAAAAAAAAACCTAAACAAATAGCCTATGTGTTCTTCAAAACTGTTCATTACATCTATGACAAATTTCATCGAGATTACTTCAGCCGTTTAGGCTACAAACTCTAGCACACATCCATCCATCCATCCATCTAAACTTTCACATATAAAATATTAAGTAAGAAGTAAGATTACTAAGATTACATAAAAAGTTGTTGGTAATAAAACTTCTTTGTTTTTAAGTTATATATGCACTTGAATTTAATAGCAACTCGTATGACAGCATGTTGTTTATTTAAAACAGTTCACCGGTTAACGAGGATTTTAACGGCGTGCAAACAGTAAAAACATTTTACAGCGTCGTTTGGTAAATTAACAGAATTTAATACGATCTCAGGAAATTGAACGAAGTGTGCATTGTGTGAAAGTGTAATAGTAATATGCAATAGTAAAATGAACTAATAAATATTGAATGAATGTGGTAGAAAACAAAAGAATTGAGCGTAATAAACAAACGCAAACGTAACAAAAATCAGGACACGTTTATCAAATTGTGGTGAATGTTTGACACCCTTTTGTAATTCAACTTTTATAATAATGTTTCTATCACTGTTTTCAATAGAGATTGAAAGATGACAATGACGTTTCCATACATTTGATTTTGTTTTCTATGCAACAGTTTACTTGGATTCAATGGCAAATGTATGCTGCCCAGGTCTCAGAAACAGTGATTCCAGTTAACTGATTTGCAACAACAATATATTGTGGTGACACGAGGTTCGTCTGCCGAATACTAAACATCTGTTGGTCTCCCTGTTTGTAAACTGAATACATCCGCAGCGAGCAGTGTCAAGCTGCGATGCGTATTGTAATGAGAAGCTAATGTTTTAACAGTTTACGTGCTGTTGGAAAGTTTGCAATGATTTTAAAACTAAGAGAATCTAAATTAGAATTAGAAAAGATGTTGATCTCATGAACAAGAAAGTATTAAGATTGAATGCGGATGGCTATAAAGATAGAAGACGTAGAAAGTGTGCATGGATTGTGTGCAAAAGGATATAATTATGAAGGAAGTGAATTAAGATGGCTGATAGAGATGTATGAAAGAGCAGTAGGTACATACTCTCCGACCCTCGGTAGGGAGAAGGGCTTGTTGATGGTGGTTCATTTTTCTAAATGTTCTTCAATGTGCACTCTCCAAGCTCGGATTAGATAGAATAGAATATCTGTAGGCGTCACCCACTCGTGACGACAAATAGGCAAATTTGTTTCGTGGACCTCGACTCGTTTAATATGAGGAAATGAGTGGGAACCTAATATTATTGCCAGTCCCATAGGTTTAAATTTTTAAGCTGAATTATTTTTGCAGTTTGTCATAGAGGTACTAAATACAGGAGACAGATTGGTTGGAATTATACTCTATAATAATTAGAAAACAGCGTGTTAACATTAAATAAAAACCTTAAGTAAAGATAATGTTGAGTTTATTCTTTCCAAGTCGAGTACCAGCGATTTGTTCAGTCACGAGAATAATTAGTGCAACTATTGATGTTAATGGGCAGCACATAATTATACTTAATTGACAATCTATCACTAAAAAACTTCATAGCGGTTAAAGAATACAATTCATTGTTTCAAAATTCATAGAAAAACCGTAACGAATGTAAATGAAATACGAATTAGTAATTGCGCAAGAACATCGATGAAAGAGCGAAGTGGGTCAGTCAGTTTGACATCGAGTTTGAGCGGGAAACGATGACACGTAGCCTCACTGCCGAATGCCGAGTGCCGTGCTAGTGGAAAACGTCGCCGTGTCGTGCAGACAGGACGGAGCTCATTAGAGGTGTGCGACGAGCGCGGTGGCGTGGGGCGAGGGGCACAAGTGACACAGGCCCGCGAAGAATGACTGATCGTCCGTCAGCGCGCGCGCACCTCGCTATCGTTATACGTGTTTAGTTGTGTCCCAGCCGCGGTTGAATGCAGACGCGTCATGTCGTGAAGTGCCCGTGAAGTGGTGTGAAGTGAAGTGAAGGATGCGTGGCGAGGCGGGCGGCGCTCGCGGAAAGGCGGGCGGAGCCAGGTCGAATAGTGGTAGCTACCCACCAATCAGCGCCGCCTATTGGCTACCGCCGTCGAACCCTACCCCCTATCACGTGCCAGGTTTGATGATTGCTCTATTTTGACCAAAGAACATGCAACTAAAACATTCGAACTCTTTCCGGATGTTGTTTCTATGAGAGTAGCGTCTGGCAACGAGTGCTTTTCTAGTAGAAAAAAAAAATTGGAAGGTGATAGTGATTTTGTCTTTAATGCTAACAAGATTCAATCTGTGTTTTAACACGTCTGAGGTTTAAAACAGAATCACTGATTATCTGTTAGAAATTATTGCAGTGCACAAAAGTCAGATTCAATACCCACGTAGAGTTCTCCTTTCGACGGCATGTGCGGAACCGCTGGTAACATTTTCGCCGCGACATTTGCAGATTTAGAAGCGCGGATATCGAAAACGAAAGCGCTCGCTCGACATTGACCGATTTGTTGACTGAAAGACAATGCCGTGTTTCCGTCGTCATTTCGCGCTAAACTGCATTAGCCGACGAGCGTAATTAGAATTCTTTACATTTAGCATTGACTCGGTAAAATTTTAAACAATACTCTAGGTAATGTTTGTTAATTATAGTTGGTAATACGCTCGTTATAAAAATGTATTTAGCCTCGACGATCTTTAGTCAATGTAGATAACCTTCAAATTACAATATAGATCGGATTGCTAATTGCGCGTACGAGACATTACAATGCAATAGGAACGTTTATGCGCTAATAAAAGCAAACAAAA